ATAAACTACACCCTTTTATCTAATGGAAAATAGTTTGATAGGGTTGCAGCCCCGTCAAATAAAGTAAAACCCCACCTCATGACTTATCGAAAATTGTAACTCAAGCACTAGAAAACCATTACATAGATCATCTCAGCTTGAACATTATGGTTGTAAAAAAATTTAGAATTTCAAGCTCTAAAAATAATGTATATTGGAACTACTTATCTAGACCATCATTTTGCCCTAAAAATAACTGTCATAGATCCGCAAGATCTGTATCATTATTGAAGTTTCAAATTTTATTGTCGGTTTTGGAAAATGATTTAGAGTCATTTTAGAGATTTTGGTTGCCAAAAGTGCTTTTTAGACGAGGATTTGAGATGAGGGTTTATGTTTAAAACCTAAGCTTTGTAAGAACTTCATCCTTATCTAATTTGCATAATATAATTTACATTTAAATTACATAATTTTGGTATATTCCTCATTTATTGAACAAAATAATGGACTCAATCCCACAAATATTTGTTGGTACTCATATGTTATTATTCCAGCTGGGTTTTGAGTGGGATCTTAATACAACCGAGCTGGCAGGCCTAGCCCGGGTTTGGCTTTTATAAAGAGGGTTGCACCTGGGCCTTAATGCTTGGGGCTTGAATCCTAGGCCCAAGCCCGTGTAAGCTTTTCCAAGTCCAGTTTTGGACCCTATGGGCTTGCACCCCTAGGCCCAGGAATGTCTCCTCCCACCCGTTCAGGGAGGATGAATAAGGCAACTCAAGAGTTGAAACCTTAAAGGCAAAAACACATGGAAGGACATGGACTGTAATTGATTCTCCCAAAAAATGCCCCCAAAATCATAGGACCCACAGTTTCTATTTGGTTCACAAATTTCATTTTTTATCCAAAGTTTATATCAAATTAATGGAGGGTGTAGGGGCACAGTGGCGCTACATAGAACACGGATATTACCCGTTTATATCTTCTTTAATCTACTCATCATCATAATTTTTTTGCAACTATTTAAGATCGGTTACACGTATCTGGTCCACCGCTCTATTTTATCAAGGGCCATTTCCATTAATCTATTGCTCACCATGATTTGAGCATTTGCTCTCTCTTTCCCTCTTGAATCTCCTTTAATCTACTGTTCACCAAACGTCGCATTTGACCACTCTCTCTCATGCATCTCCTTTAATCCACTGCTCATCAAATATTGCACTCTCTCTCTTTTGGCCCCTCTCTCACTCATGCATCTCCTAAACTACTGCTCATCAATTATTGCAATTCCCTGCCTCTTGGGTTCAAGATGTTAAGAAAGCAAATCATAACTAAACCTTAGCAATTTGGTTATATAAAATATTGCTTCAACAGTTCAAATAAAAACTCTTCCTTCTTTCTTGTTATTCACACTGAGGGCTACAACCATTGATTATGAAATATTGTTTTATTAAAATTATTGACCAAATTCCTTGTAAAAAATATTTTATTAAAACTATTAAATATGAGTTGAAGTTGTAGACAGTTTCATATAAATATTTCAAAAAATTATATACTATAAAGTTGAGAATAAAACAAGCTTTAACTTGCATATTCATAATCAATTCCTAGCATATTGCTTCCCACATGCCAAGGTTGAGATTTTACAGCTATGTTTAGCATGTGACATGGTTATTCTAAATTCTAATCACTAATTATGCTTTCTGATTAGAAACCAGTTCTTCTTATTATTGTGATAATAAGAGGATGCTTAAAATTTTGATTTGACTAGGATTTTGTTGGCACATTAGAATTTATCATGATGTAATAAAAAAATGAATTTATCAGAGCTGATGGTCACTAAACTGCCAAGAACTAAAAGCTTTGTAGGCCTCGTACATCTTGAATACCTTCAAGAAAGGATAGCATATCATATCCTATATGCAATGATGTATAGTAGCAATCATCTCCATTGTGAATGTTACTGTCCATCTCAAACATTAGATGGTGGAGATTAGCCATCGTCGAGAGCACATTCAGCTGAAAGAGCAGTTCATCTGGACCAACCACTGGAGATGACGATGCGGAGGATCATATATTACACAGGCACTGCATACATTGTTATACTTTCCATTTTCTAAAGAAATGTTATTTGTGTTTTGATCGTTAAATGTTCTAATCTAACTTGTTTTCATTACCACCATGGGCAAAGTACCATTGTGTCCCCATTGTGCTTCCTTGTCCTTTCAGAATTCGCGACAGGCCCATTCAATATCTCCGCTCTTTCGAATTTCCAAATCTCTCCTCTTAAAATATACTACAATAATTTTTACTTTTTACTGATTTTAGGCCCTAGGCAGAGGTAGTCTGGTGGTCAAAATGGTAGGTACTGCAATATGACATCTATCTAGAGTTACTGTAACAAGTCTCAGTTAACATTCACAAAGAAATGCTCACATAACCTTTACCCACTTGCAAGAGAGATGAAGTGTATATATAGAATGAGAATCAGAGATAGCTTCGTCCCACTTCTGCGTTGAATGTTAAACACAAAAAGCTATATTATGCCAGACATGGTTCAAAAACTGCAAAGAAGATCATGAGAAAATGCTTTTAGAAAGATCTTGTTTTACTTTTTTAGAAAGGGACCTTCGTTTCACAACAATAGCAATTTCTCCCTTCTTAAAAATAATGTCTGTAATCGATGGTTACCCCTTAACTAATCCACATGGGTGCCAAAAAGCAAGGAGGAACATTGCTTTTAAAAGACTCCCATAGGAATATTTCTCTCGGATAATGACAACAAAAATAACATCATCGATATTATTGATTCTATGATCTACCAAGCAAATATTTGACTCCTTTATATGAAAGGTGTGGTGATGTAGAATTTCAAAGTATAACTTAAAAGAAAGATTTTTCTTTTCTTTATTAATAATTAGAACTTACTAGTTACCATTGCCACAATACAAGGCAGAAATTTACCTACTACAATCTAAAATCTTTAAATTTTACTGCCAAAAATAAAACTTTATTCAAGAACTGAACTCAAGCTTAATTTAGGAATTCTGAAACAAATATGAATCAAGAACTGAAAATAAAATTAATAAATAAATAAACTGGGAAGACTTGCTGAACCTTTTGCCTAGGGTTACCGCTTAAGACTTGACACACCCCACAGCCGATCACCTATATCATGGCACGCTTAATCCTTTTAGGTCTTGTTGAGTCCGCGCTTAATCCTTTTAGGTCTTGTTGAATCCTCCAAATCAGGAAGCTCCTCTGTAATTCCATTATCAAAAAGCTAGGGGCTCTGAGCATGAGCTACAATTAGGGCTTCTTAATACCCTTCTAAACTTTGACGCATGCCACTGAGTGGCACCTCCCCTAACCCAAACTAAGGCTGGGCATGTCCGCTTCTTCTCTATATTAGGTGGTGCCTCGTACCACTTAGACGAGAGAGAGAGAGCTAGATAGAATAGAGGGTTGGCAGAGAGGAGAGAGAGGTTTGAGAAAAAGCTGTTTGGAGAATGAGGGTTTCCCTCCTTATATAGGCATCAACGGGCCATTGGTATTCCAATCAAATAAAAATTCAATACGACCTTCAGATTGCCAAATAATATGTAAGGTGAGACAAATAAATTTGAGTTATCCATCCCTGAAATCAACCATCCTGATTTAGAGATGAATTTAGAAACTTTATCCCCTAAATCTTTTAACCCGTATCTATTTCTAATCCATCTAGATTTCTTCAACCAATCAAAAACCTATAGCTCCTAGTTTGCCCAAGTCTGAGATTTGGGTGCCCAAATATGGACTTCTTCTTGAACCCAAAATATCTCCTAATTTATTTAGAACTCCTCAAATCCAAAAATCAAAAGGAGTCTTGATCAAAATATTTTCTAGATTCCATAAAATATTCTCACAAAATATTTCCCCAAGTAATTTCCAAATTTTTGGAACTAACAAACTATTTTCCAAAATCCTTTGGACTCCAAGGTTCCCAAAAAATACTGGGAAACATGGGCATCCCACTATGTGGGGTTATGGCTCTTGTGGGCCCCACATCCCACACCAAGTGGATCCTACACATGTAGGGCTGGGCCATTAGACCCCACGTGGGTCCCCTTACATGTAGGACAAACTTAAAAAAACACCCCTAATTAGAAAAATTATAGAAAAAACCTTTTAGGTGTTTTGTTTATTTAAAACAATTCAAAACTCTAAAACATCCAAAAATCACAAGAAGGAAAACAATATTTCTAAAGTTCTTAAAAAAAGAGAAAAAAAAAAAAAACATTAAAAAATACCTCAAAAAGTGGATTGTTATAAATAGGTCAAGAAAAATTACTGTCAAGGCATTCTACCCATACCAAGATCAATCAAGACCCATAAGCCGCAGTCATTTGTAGGTTCATGATTGTCTCGTCAATGCTGACCACTAAATAGTGGAACCATTGTCCTATAATGTGGATTACAGGTTTCCCCTAAGAGCAACATGTATATATCACAATAGTACAAGGGGACTCTCTCTATGCATATGTATACGTATCCCTCTATAGGGTTGCTACCCAGAATGCAGCCGTCATATACATATGTCATGCGAGTTTGTTGAGGATTCAACCTTCACTCTCACAAGCTAGACTTACAGCATCCCTAGGCATCTCCAGCCTTAACAAAGGCTGACCCTCTAGGAATCGCGCAATAGTAATGCCTATACCCAAAGGAAGGGTTTTGGACATGAACCAGACTATAAACCATCAACCCTGGGCTAGTCAACCAACATAAGCTCCCACTAAAGTACACAAGCCAGTATTATTTATTATATTCATATGCTCCCATGGCCTTTAAAGATTAAAAATACAAACGTTATATAATTAGATAATACTTTTAGTAAGACATGTTCAAAGTATTATCCTATTCTCCCTAAAAAAAAAAAAGGCTTGAGCACCATGCAAACTACGAAGCGATATATAATACATAAACTCACAAAAGTACTCACAAAAGTACTCATTTGCAGTTTGGTACAACGGGAAGAGATTGTGTTTACACAAATAGCTACAAATAGTGCATAGTCTCGCATCAATTGTTATTTGTCCAATGGGGAAAGAAAGATTACATCAAGAATATACTGTACAATGTATACATGGAAGATACTAAAATGCCAAAACTCAGTGTTACTGGTCATTGGCAAATGGAGAGAGTAACAGATAGCCCCTCTCTCAAACCAACCTTATAATTATTTCATTGTATTTACATGGGGAAGAAGCTTACAGAATAACAATGCCGTAAAGAATACACTAGAAAATGTATACATGGATCTTCTTCCTGTCAGATTAGCCACGACCCATTTCTTAAACTGCTACTTACATAAAGAGAGGACCCCCTTCTCGATCAATTAACATTTCTTGCACTTTTCTTTATTGGAGCTCATTTAGCCCTAATTCGCAGAAGAATCAAGGTTGAAGCTACATTCTAACTTCCACTATATCACCATCTTTTAGCTCAGTATGAGGGAGAGCTAGTTGGCCATTAACAAGCACAAATTTTCCCTCTCTTCCTACCCTTCTTGCAGCATCCGCAGCAGTGCTCCCTGATCTCATTCGCATGATTTCCCCATGGGGCCAGCACACGATGGCCACCTCACCGAGCACTATAGAGTTGGATTGTGCGTTGGGGTATTGGACCCGCTTTGCAACTTCGAAACCCACTTCATGGCGCAATTCCTCCTCCCACTGGAGCATAGTTCTTAACAGATGCACCTTGCAGCATTGATTAAGGCCATTAGAATAACTGTGTGTGTGTGTGTGTGTGTGTTAAACCAGTGAAGGGGTTTGAAAGGGGCAGCCCCTTGCAATTTATACACCACCTCAGTTGTGCTAAACGATTCTTAAAAAGACCAGACTCGATGTTGACGCTAAAATAGCCTAGTCGAGCTGACAAGTTTGCAGTAATCCATCCCACAGCAGTGGAAAGAATTGGGTGGAAAATTAAAATGATGGGTGCCTAGTATTGACCACCCCCTTTCCCCCCCAAACCCACCGACTCACCCACCCACATCAGACTGGATGTCGAGATAGACAAGTTGCATGTGTCATTGCTATTTGCAGGTTTAAACCAGTTGGAACAGCAAAGGCTCACTAGGTCTATAGATATAAAAAGTGCAACTAACAAATGAAGGATTTAGGGGACTTCAGAAAACCAGAATTGACATGATGAATACTGTAAGGTATTTCACTTGAATTCAAACTTTTGGAGCTTCCAAATCCTAAAGTGAGAAGACCCACGACCCTACGGTCTCTTACCTGACTGAACAACCTGACACATCCCCTAAACTGCATAGGAAATACCTAGACTCGTGATACCCTATTGTATCTTGCCTGACTGAACAACCTGACACATCCCCTAAACTGCATAGCAAATACCTAGCCTCGTGATAACCCTGTTGTCTCTTGCCTGACTGAACAACCTGACTCATTCCCTAAACTGCATAGGAAATACCTAGCCTTGTGATAGTCAAATGCAAAAATCCAACTACTAGGAACTTGTACAAGAAAATATCAAGGTAAAGTCTCTAATTCTCTTCTATTAGTTAAAATTCAGCTCTGAAGGTGCATCCCGACTTCATCCACAGTAAACCGAGCCTTGCATATGAAATCTCGCATATACTGTGCTCTAATGGAGATGTGAGTGAGTAATCTCAACCCCTAGAAAGCAAGAGAGGTAAACATATTCTTCAATTGGGGCTGTTGACATAAAATATCTAAGCGCCTCCTTGTTAAAATCCATCAATGTTAAATGAAAAGATAACTAGTGAATCAAAATGAAGTCAAACCTTTCCCCCATATCATATGTTGAGAAATTCATCGAGTATAGGACCTACGTTATTGTAACTTTTTTTCTCCTTGGTTAAAATTTCATGTGAGGTTGAGTGTTTATGTTCTGCTCGAAACTAATCTGTTCTGTAAAATATTTTATTCTGGATGCAGTTTGTATAACGTGTCATCATCCTTAAACAACCAAAGCAGGGCGATCCTCTAAATCTTGCTAAATGCAGTTTCAGTGCCGAAAATCCTTACAACAAACGAAAAATATATATTCACTCCTAATTATGAAATTCAAAGTCCAAATGGCATAGATCGAGGGGATCCATAAATACTTAAAATTTGAAAATAGACGGTCTGGATAATATGTTACAATGCACACTATTTTTAGGACTTGAAGTCCCATCTCAAGGTCGAGATGATCAAGCTGTAAGGTCTTTCAATATCTGAACAACCTTTCAAATGGATTTTCACTTGACTTTTATAGCATAAGGTTAACGCCTTATAAAAACCTTTTCATTTTAGTTTTGAAACAATGGAAATAATCAAGGTGAAATCATTTCAGGCACAACCTAAAATACTCTGAAGCATGTGGTTTTTGCTGTAGTATGTAGTTCAAATACATCCATAAACTATTCACAGTGAACCAACCTTGTTATTTATGCTAGCCTCTAGGGGTGCAGCAGGAGACACTTTGCTGAGCTTCTCAGAGTAGTTTGAATCACATGGCGCAGAAGAGATTTGTTTTCCTTCAAAAACATCAGAGACAACTTTCCAATACTCAGCTTCCTCTTGGGCAGTAAATTCAATGATCTGAATGAAGGTTGGTAGTGAGCGTTGGAACTGATCTTGCTACAAAAGTATAAGACAATAATGTTAAAATTTAGTAGACATCAAAACATGCAATTCTCTAAAACTATAATAGCATCTGAACTTAGTTATATTAATGGATTAAAATATTGAGAACAGGGAATTTGGTATGCTATAATACATAGTGAGTGGTGGCCAGAATCAGAGCATGCTTAGAACTCACATAGAACAGTATACAACTTCATTTCTACCCACCCTGATGGCACATAGAAGTGACGTCAACATAATGTAAATGAAATCTGTAACATGAGATGCTAATAGCACTTGCATAAAGCAAGTGCCTGAGTCAATTCTACAGCCTTTTTGTCTGAAATAAATTAAACAACATAGATATTGCTTCAAAAAAATCTCTTGCGTGTCTATACCTTATGATATATTCCATCTCGACATAGGACATACTTTTCTAAGCATGTACACCAGTCTCCATGTCCTGGTGCAAACCACCATTGATCAGATACCTGCAAGCACAACATAGCCAAATTCATATAAATCAGGCAGCCAATGTTCTAAAAAGCGGCCCAGAGCCAAGGGGACCTCAGCAACTTGCCTAGGCCTGGGGGGTCATTCTAGGTAGGGTGTCTTGGACGTCCACCCAGGTACCCTGCTAGGCGGGTTCCCAGTGTTCTACCCCTAGGCCGGTGCCCAGGGACTGTGCCCGCCTAAGGGGAAACGCCCCTCAGGTGGGGGCATTTCCAATAATTTCCCCCCAAAATTAAAAGAAAATAGGAGGGGGGGGGGGGTTGTTTCTGAACCCCTACTATCATTTTTTCCTCTAAAAACACCAAAAAGAACTCAAAATTTTCTTCAAACCTCAAACTTGGTTGGATTCAACTTCGAATTCGACACTTCCGAAAATTGATCCAAACGTAATCATTTTGTTCTGGATCCAATTTTATCCATTTAAGAAGCTTATTAGAGGGTTATTATAGAGCTTTTGAGATTAGCAAACGTCTTAAACATTGAAGATTGAGTATAAAGGTTAGTAAAAAATCTTCCAATTTGAGATTTTTTTTGTTATTTCGATATCTTGTTCAGGTTGCACTAGATGTGGTGATCCAGGTTGGAAGTATGGTTAGAACCCAAATCCAAATGATAAAAGTTGTATAAGGTATTAATGTGGAAAAGATACTTATGTGTATGGATTATGTGATGATATGGACTATGGATTATGGATTGTGACTGTATCGTATTCTGGTTGTGCTAGTACTTTGGTTTGGATCATGAGATTTTAATATTTTATGACGTGTTAATGTGTTATCGTAATATACTCATATTTGCGTTAAATATGTATAGTATGAAGTAAGCCTATGGAGCGTACGAATTTACTTTGGTTTGGTTACTATGGATTACAGATCATGTGTATGGAAATACAGAATGGAATGGTATGGAACTATGGATTAAGGTTACAGTTATGGATTATGGTTAGGTTGATTGGTTATGGGCTGTGTGTTTTTGATAGTAGCATAGTGCTTTGGTTCGGATTTGGCATGATTCCACATAAAAATGTATAAAAAATGCCTAAATATGCATTTTTCATTCAAATTTTAGACCTAAAATGGGATTCCCTGGACAAGCTCTGCCCCCTTGTTGAACTTGGGCGCCTGCCTAAGCGTTGGGCGGCAACGGCCCCCATGGCCGCCTTGGCAATGCCTAGCGCTTTTTGGAACACTGTATGCAGGTAGTATTGATTTTTAGAGTTCTTAAATAAGATGAAAAAAATCTAGGGCAAATTAAAGAAGAGAAAGGAGAGAAGTAGAAGTAAGATGTTAGAGTAGTAAGAGAGAAAGAGCATAAAGAGAAAGAGAAGAAGAGAGAGAAAGAGATGTTAAAGAGAGAGACTACAATAGTGCCTTTTCTTAATGAAATAGGACATATATGTCCTAAACAAAATAAAAGACAATTATACCCATCAAATACAAGAATACTTAATTATTTCCAGCACTTCCCCACAAGCTGGTGCATAGATATCAATCATGCCCATCTTGCTTGTGACATCTTGTAGTCTATCTCATCCAACAACTTTAGTAAAGATATCTACAAGTTGATCTTAAACTTCCCATGATGATTATGAATGATCTTGGCAGCAGATTCTCTCCAATGATGTGATAATTTGCTTCAATTGTTTTCTCCCTTCATGAAATACAAGAATCTCAGAGATATGAATTGTAACTTCATTGTCACAGTGCAAAGTTATGGGACGCTTAACTTTAAACCCCAAATTAAATAGAACACTTTTGAGTCGCATTACTTCACATGTACCATGAACCATAGCCTTGGATTTTGCTTCAACACTTGATCTTGCCACTACATTTTATTTTTTGCTTTTCAAAGAAACCAGATTTCCTAAAACAAAGGTGCAATAGCCAGTTGTGGATCTCCTTTCAATTTGGCATCCAGCATCAGTGTAAATAGTAACCTCAAAATGCCATTGATCAGAGAAAATATCCCTCCCTAGAGCAGACTTGAGATCTCTCAATATTTGATATACTACATTAAGATGTGGTCTACGTGGTGCATGCATATATTTGTTGACCACAATAACCCCATAAGAGATGCTTGGTCGTGTGATCATGAGGTACATAAACTTGCCCACTCTTTATTGATATAGTTTAGGATCTTCAAGTAACTCTCCCCTTTCTTCATGAAGTTTATGATTAACTTCGAGAGGAGTATCAACTAGTCTAGATCCCAATATCCCAGTTTGTTGTCCAGCACACATTTTCTCTAGGAGGTGGCTATCTCTTTTTTTGATCTTGCCATTTCAATTCCTAAAAAATACTTAAAGTAAACTAAACCTGCGATATCGAACACTTGCTTAGACATGATTTAAGATCCTCATCGTCCTTCACATTGTTCCTTGTCACAACAATATTATCAACATACACTATAAGGGTTGTAATCCCAGCACTATTCTTCTTTACAAAGAGCGTATGATCAGCTTGACTTCTTTTAAACCCAAATTTCAGCAGTGCATTACTAAACCTTTCATACCATGCTCTAAGAGACTATTTACGTCCATAAATCGCATTCTTTAACTTGCACACCTTTCTTGTCTCCTCCGTAATCTAAAAATCTGGATGCATGGCCATATAGATTTTTTCTTGAATATCCCCATGCAAGAATGCATTCTTTACATCTAATTAGTGGAGAGGCCAAGACATATTAGCTGCTAGAGAAAGAATGATCCTCACAATGTTAAACTTGGCTACAGGAGCAAAAGCGTCTTGGTGGTAGTAGTTTATGGCAGGAGTCTGAGTGAAGGTTTTTGCAACCAATCTAACCTTACACCATTCAAGGGCACCATGAGCTTTGTACTTCACAGTGACTACCTACCGACATCCAACAACCTTCTTCCCTTTAGGAAGGCTGGTGATTGCCTCGCATTATTTTGCTCAAGTGGTCGCATCTCATCACCCATGGCAGCCTTCCATTGAGGTTGTGAAAGTGCCTCTACGACATGGGAAGGTATTCAAATAGAAGACAGTGCTGGTATGAAGGCACGATTAGAAGAGGACACTAAATTATAATATACAAAGTTCCCTATAGGATCCTAAGTACAAGAACGCTCACCCATGTATACAACAATCGGCTAGTCCAAATTAGAACTATTTGAGAAGGTGAAAGAATCACCTGAGTCAAGACCAATTCCTGATTCCGGGTTGGCATTCAGGGTATAATTGTTTAGAACTTCAGGTTGTGCCATATTCTTTCTCCTGATATATGTCTTTAGCTCTTTTTTTTGGGTGTACACCATTCTCTTCAAATAAAAGTGGTGTAAGAACAAGAAGGGAAACCACTAATGTGCTATCTTCACTAAGATGGATCTTATTGCTCCCTTGAAGAGAGAACACATGACCAGTAGATGAGAAGTAGGGAACATATTAAAAGGAAATAACATCCATGGAAACATAGTAAACTTTGTTAATAAGATCAATACACTTGAATCCCTTTTGATGAGATGGACATGCTAGAAAAACACACTTGACACTTAAGCATCAAGCAATGTTCAAAAAGTTGGCTGCCCGGCCGCCTAGGCGGACTTTTTCAAAAAATGCCTAGGCGTGGTCAAGGCGGGCTGTATTAGACAAAAAAAAAGGAGCCCCCCTAAGCGTAAGCGGTGTAAAAGGCTAGCGCCTAGGCACCACCTACGACATTGGCGGGACATTTTTTTCGGGAGAGAGCAAAAAAAGTAATTTTACCTCCTTAAAAGGGGGGATAAGGTTTGGGGAGCCATTCTTGCCCTCAAAAATAATTTTAGTAAACTTTAGAGTGAGAAACATCTTGAAAAAAACCTAGATTTAAAGATTTATTGAGAGGTAGAATTTTTTTTCGAAATCCTCAAATAGTCACGATATTAAAGGATAACCCGATCTTTTTGAGGCTTATAGGAGTTGTAAAAGAGGAGATTTGGGATCTCAAACATTTCGGTTTGACCTGAAATCGAGTACACTTCAAGAAGGTATATTTCAATAGTTTTCATTAAGCTTTGTATTTTTTTCCCTTAATGTCTAATGATGTTATAATTTGCTATTTGTAATTTTTTTTTATACTTTGTGATATACTTTCGATATGTTATTTGTCTATTTGGATTATTATTTTCCCATTTTGATATGTAGTTTGGGTCTTTGGGAAAACAATTAAATAAAAAAGTCCATTGCTCCCAAACCGAATCAATATTGTCTTTTACTTCTTTTTTTAGTTTTATACATGAATTTGGTTGTTTTTTAGTTTCGATTTATGATTCATAAACCATAAGTTTTTTATTAGTTAGTTCAATAATTGCTTAATGCTTATTAATTAATTGCATGTGTAATATGTTTTTTCGACTTAAACCATTAATGCTTAATTGCTTATTAAACAAATTTTTTTATTAGTTAGTTTAATATTTTCTTAATGCTTATTAAATAATTGCATGTGTGATACTTTTTTTTTTATTTTGTGTTATATCATTGTAATTTTGATTTGTATGTTTTACCTAGATTTATTTTTTGGCTTAATAAAAACCCAATATATTAAAGGGTCAATGTCTCTACTATTTTTATGTCATTTCTCATTTGTAATTTTTTAGATGACCATTTCTAATTTTTTCAAGTTTGACCTCGTTTTTGTGTAATTTTCAGGCTTAGGTGTTAAGTTGAGACTTGATTGATAAACGATGTAGGTGAAATGTCTTCCTCGGCTTCAAGTAGACAACCTGATCCAGGTTGAACATATGCATATTGGGACCTAGTGACAAGAATAGAGTAGGTTGCAAGTTTTGCAAAAAAGAATACATTGTTGGCATTAATATAGTGAAAAAGCATTTGGCCGGCATAAAAGTGGAAGTGGCGTCATGTAATCAAGTTCCTACTGAGCTCAGGAAAGAGATGTTGGAGAACGTACAAGGGGTCCAGAAGAAACAACAGGTCAAGAAGGGATTTGAAGACATGAGGAGCGGCATAAACATCAGTGGCATACC